TCTGCAGAGTGGTAATAGAAGTTTTTAGTAGTTTGCTTGTTGCATATAATTAAAACTGTTTATTATTAATTGTAATTATTATAGTAGATTTTTAGAAGTTCTTCTGTTAAAAGTTGTAGCAAACCTAAGCAGATACAATAAAAGCCAAAGACATTATTCTGTAGACTACCAACACTCTGGGGGACATGTTTTAGGATATGATAAACTAATTCTGGTTAAGTGTCACATCATGTATACCTTCATCTTCTTCCGTTTAATTATTTATTGTTTTATTTTGTATGATTTTTATGATTTTCTTTAATGTAATTAGTAGCTTACATTAATAACTACAATTTCATGTTAACTCAAAAATAGTATAGATCTGATACTTATTTGATAACTTAAGCAGTTATCACCATCATCTTTCTTTTGCAATAATTGTGAGCAAATGTTGTTTATAAATAATAATAATAAAACATTGCCCTTCTTTTTCCTCATAACTTTGATTTAGCCTTCAGTGTTTAATTGATAATTATAAAAAGACTCATTGTCAGGTTTTGTAAGACCGGATTCTTTACAGTAGGTGCCTGTGACTTGTTGGCAATAACTTTCAACTACAAACAAACAGCAACAAAGTCTACTTGTTTTAAAAATAATATATTCTAAACAAATCAAACGTGTATACAAATGTTCGTTACATTGTTGGTTATCACAGTTGTATCCAGAGCTTTAAATAAGTGTCACTTTTTCGTCAAAGTCCACACGGACTAGTTCAGTCACTTTAGAACATAATAGACAAGACGAACTATTCTTCTCTACTCTGTTTTTACAATACAGTCTGTGATAACTTCACTTTAAAAATCATCACTATACACTCTTTATCACTAAACTCACCGTCAGTGATTCGACCTTGGCGAAACATGTAGCGAATCTTCGCATAACATAGAATGGAATAAGGTTCAATAAACTTAAAATAAGACCCAAAACTTGAGCGCTTTTGAATAGTTCACTATTCTTCTTCTTGTTCTCCTGAAGAAGAATAGTCAACTATTCGAAAGTGCTCGAGTTTTTGGTCTTATTTTAAGTTTATTACACTTTATATGTGATCCTTTGTGCTAACTCTTTTATCAAGATGGAATAAGGTTCAAATACTTAAAGAAGTTAAGTTAAAAAAATGAAGTAAACTTTAGAAAATCTATAGAAATTGTTAAACATAAAATAATTTTGAATAGAGATCTAGGCCCCTGGTGACACAGAAGTAAATCTTTGGAAATCTATTCTGTAGAGGGCATTGTACAAATACAAATTATACATGTACACTTGTATAAAAAATATAATATTCTATGTTTCTTCTGATGTCCTGAAGATGGTGGAATTTTTTTCACCCAAACCTGTAAAGTTTTAATTGTATATTTTGCTTTTAAATTTATATGATAAAATATTGTGCATTTTTAAACGTTAAAGTTCATATTTATTTCATGAAACATTTATTTTATTTATTTTCATGAAATAGATCCTTCCTCCGGACCTTACTATTGAAGGTTTATATTTATCGTGATGGTAGTGTACTTCTGATGAAATACTTAAATAATAATATGTTAAACTATACTGAATTCAGTGATTTATACATCAATGTTTGAAACATAATTTCTCTGTGTAACTTACAGTTTATAATTTACATATACATGTATACTACAAATTTCAACAATCTCCATTTAGATTTTTAGGAGGGAGTTAGCCTGAAATGTTACTTGATAAATGAAGTTCTTATCTAAACCATTATATAACAAAATATTGTGTGTGTTCGCTTATGCTTATAAATATCCAACTTCTCAACTAATTTTTGCCAGACCTTAGTTGTACCCTACAGATTCCCTGAGGAGCAATACAGTCACTGTCACTTATGTCACTGTCGGGAGCTCTATATCTTCCCCGTGCATTGTTTACTTACAACTGGCTAACAGCTCGACTGATTAACAACAAACAGGACCGACCCTTATTTCTGAAATTATAACATGTAATTACTTAACAATTATCTATTAAGCAATTATATCTCATTGAGAATCATACACTACTAATATGTGAGGAGTCAAAAAGTTTACACTTCTTTTGCGCCTTTATAGTGTTTTCTATAAAAATAATGTTTTTATTATGAAAACCATTTTAATATAAGAGGCGAATTATAGTTTTATGTTTTCGTTTATTATTTTGATACTAGAATAAAAAGAGTGTAAATTGATAAAGGTATCATGATTCGAGAAGAAATATTTGTTGGAGCAATCCTAATAGTTAAAACATAGTTTATATTGTGAGAGCGCTGTATAGTTTCAGAATATATTCAGTTTTGGTAAGACATATTTTGTGCATAAAACTACTTTTTCTTCTTCTTTTTTCTTGGCAAGAATAAAGAACTCATAGTTTGGACGCATTATAATTTCTAAAATTTACAAGTTCTCATTTCGAAAGTAAATATTTTAGGGTTCTATGCTAACTTAACAAAGTTTCTTCAACTGCAACCTCAAGTTACTTAGAATGCTGCATTTGTATTTAGTGTTTATGAGAAGGCTTCCATACCAAAGTTTGAACTACTGTCAGCAGCACCTTACCATCCAAAATACATGCTAATGGATTGATCTCTTGCTTATAATGCACCCACAGCTTAAATTGCAGGGAATATTTTGTGGTATTGCTCAGATTCGAATAGGTACTCGCCAGCTCTGAAATCCAGAGCTCTACCACAGGACCAACTCACACCCTTAGAATTTTGCTTGGCTAAATGACTGACGCTGCGTAAGCTCACAAGTCGTAAAAGTTTAGATTTTATTCTCCACACTTAGCTGTAAAATAATTCAATGGAAAACCCAGAAGTACGATACTTGTTGTTATTTACTCATTGTATTGTTACGACATCAAAGTCACGTGACTAGTATCACGCCACGTCATTCTCGAACATTCACGTCGTTTCCTTAAATCTCGTGAGCCTTCTAGATACAGTGTAGTCTTGTATATATAAGACCGGCCACGAAGCGACGGGGAGGTAATGAGTAGTTGAATGTATGCGGACAGAATATTGTTGGCCACGTGAGACGTGAGTTATCGCGTTTGTTATAGAGCGACTGTTGAAATTAAGTGTATCGTAAAGTTGTATTCGGAAAGAATAGACCAGTTTTATTTAAGAAAGGACTTGTGTCGCCAAAGTTCCGTCGGAAAGAATTTACGGAAAATTAACTAACGACTGGAGGCGTAACAAATTGGTGTCAGAAATAGGATGAAAACAAAATGGAAACGAAAAGCGGCAAATCAAACTACAGCTTAGCAGACTTGATGGCAGCAATACAATAGCAGCAAAAGAAACAAGAAGAACGAGAAAAGAAACAAGAAGAACGAGAAAAGAAACAAGAAGAACGAGAAAAGAAACAAGAAGAACGAGAAAAGAAACAGGAAGAGAGACAAAAGCAGTTGCAAGAAAACCTGCAACAGTGG